GAACTCATTTTTTGCAATATTGCCTAAGCTGCAGAATTTGACTCTTTTTTTACAAAAAATGTGTTCTCAAATTGTTATGACTGCAGTTTCAGCCTTATAATCCATGTTGGCCATTGAGATTCCATCATGGTCACATTTTATTGACTCTGGCTAGGTGGTACGCCCAGTTTACCTTGACGATCTATCCTCACCGTGAACAAATTTATTTCTCATAGCCCAAAAATGCATCTGTATTTGAAACCACTTATTCTAGTTTGCACCTTAAAGAGGGCACTCAGACTAGGTCAAAGCTTCATCTCATTCACTTTAAATATTTTCCGGGTTTTGCTGTGCTGTGTCCTTTACTTGATGGTTGTCACGATCCTATATTTCTATTCGTATTATCTCCACACTGTTTTAGGCATTTTGACTACTCTACTCGCCTTGCACGATCTTCTGACTACCGATTGCATCGCTCGACCGAAAGTAGCCCGCAGTTGGCCACTGTTCCCGGTCGTGGCCATCTTTGTGGACATCTTCGACAGCGAAGCTTGGTTGAGAGCGAGCTAGTTTCAGGTCGGGCTAATTGGTACATTCCAGAAGACCAAGAGAATCCTATATCCGGTAACACCTATTCTTGTTTGGCAGGAAGCGATGTTGCACAGTATCCGGGATCTCTTAAACTAACCCGTGTCTCCTCATCTGGGCAGGTGAGATCCGCCTTCCCTTCTCGATGCCTACTTCTTCTGCGTTGTCGCTTTTTCCTTTTTAATGTTGAATTTCCCCACCAAAATTTGCTTTATTTATTTAGTATGTCAGTGATCATTAGCTGACGAGTTTTGACTGACACTGCTAATTTTTCACTTTTTATCAAAGTTATTAACTTGTTTTAAGGTCATGGACAACATTTTTATCTAGAGTATCAATGGTACTACAAAAAGTTGTCTGCTGTTGCAAATTAGTTTTTGGAGCCTTCCACTATTTATCTTAAATGCGATCTCCCTCTATCACATTTCACCTTCCTGAATAGGGCTCTTACCCTTGGGATCCTAACTTTTTGCAAGTTCCTCTATAAAATTTGGAAATTGTGTATTTTCGCCAGGTTGCTTATTTATAACGACTTTAAGAATGCACGTATTGATAATAATTACCTTTGCTTAAACTTATATTACCTCAATTATTTATGGCTATTCTGCATTTTCCTCAAAACTTGAAGGATACGAAAGACCAAATAAATTGCTTTTATAGCATCTAGATTAGCTTGAATTTACATTATCTGCAAGAAAGCACGTTTGTAAGTTAAAGTACATTGTGATTTACTAACAGATAAAGCCATTGCACAAAATATCGTGGAAGATTCAAAAGTCATTTCTTTAGATTTATAACGATTTATTTTCTTTCTCAAATTGG